TAATATAAAACGATAGATAAAAAAAGATTGATGACAACCCCCCCCCCCCCCAAAAAAAAAAGGAAAAAAAGGAATAAACAAAAAAGGCAACACCGGGACGCGAATCCACCAGGTAAAAATAGCAACAGTTGCAATTTTCCCGCTGAGGAGGACAGCGAGACAACAAAGAGCAGCGGACGGGGAAAGATGGAAGGACGCTGAGCCGAAGGAGCAATCAGGACGTGGCATTTACGGCCTTCTTCGGCGCAAATAAACGCTTCGATTAAGATTCGAAGGGAGACGGATAAGGCGACGGTTCGGTTCCGTCTAATTTGGGGTCTTTTGGTTCTGCGTGTTTTTTTTTGTTTTGTTTTTTATTTTTTTCTTTCTTTCTTCTTTCTTTCTTTCTTTCTTTCTTTTCTTTTCTTTCTTTCTTTCTTTCTCTTTCTTTCTTTCTTTCTTTCTTTCTTTCTTTCTTTCTCTTTCTTTCTTTCTTTCTTTCTTTCTTTCTTTCTTTCTTTCTTTCTTTCTTTCTTTCTTTTTTTTTGCTGTTTTGTGTTGATGTTTCGTCTTTTTATGGTTGGTCTTTGTCTCTCTTTATTCGTCTTGCTAACAAATTTTTCTTCTCTCTTCTCTATTCTCTCTGTGGTCTCTCTCTCCTGTGATACAACTCTGTCAGTCCTCTCCTGGACACCCTTCGTGCGTGCAAATCACACTCTTCTCTCTCTCTATCCACACACACGCTACCTTCGCGTGCGCTCTCTCCGACCACAGGAAGCTCTTCCCGTCGACTTGGACTCTCCCAATATCTCTAGTGAGTGACACACCATGCGCGTCGGCGCGTGCGTGACACACTCTCACTTCACATTGAAACCACCATCTATGCTGCGCTCCTTTGCATCCACGCAATCACTTTCAACTCCAGGCTTAAACTCAACAGATATTAATCTACTGTCATACAGCCTTCTCTCATCTATCTGTGAGTGTGAATCTCCTCATCTTCTCGTGTGTGGTAGATTTTTCCCTTTAATCATACAGTGAGCCAATAATCCACATCCTCCTACTCCTCATACGTGGACCAACATCTCTTCCTCATCCTCTCGAACAAGGTCTTCTAGCCACACATCCCACTCTTCATACATCCTCACTACACAATGCCATCTCTTCTCTCCTGCTCTCCTTCTCTCTCGTGCTCTTCTCGTCCTTGCACAATGACACCTTGTAACACCATGACCGGACTACAAGCTCAATAGAGAGAGCACAGAACAGAATCACTTTATCCATGTGACACTCTACATAACACAAGAAACAAGCCTTTTCTTTATTTTTTCGTCTTTTTTCTTTCGTCTTTCGTCTAAAAACCTTTGCATGACTTTGAAGGAAGTTGAAAGTCTGTGAAACTCTTGGGAAAAAAAATTATCCTGTTAATGAGTCTTGGAATCGCCAATGTTCAGTTTTCCATTCGCTGCCTCTCTCTCTCTCTCTCTCTCTCTCTCTCTTCTCTTCTCTCCTCTCTCTTCTCTCTCTCTCTCTCTCTCTCTCTTCTCTCTCTCTCTCTCTCTCTCTCTCTCTCCCTCTCCCTCTCCCTCTCCCTCTCCCTCTCCTCTCCCTCATTCCCTTCTCTCTCTCTCTTCTATCCCTCCTCTCTCTCTCTTATCTCTCTTCTATCTCATCATCTCTCTTCTCATCTCTATCTTCTACTTATGCTTCTCTTTCTCTTCTCTCTTTCTCTCTCTCCTCTCTTACTCTACTCTCTCTCTCTCTCTCTCTCTCTTCCTACTCTATATATATATATATATATATATAATAGTATACTATTCATATATACATATAAATATATAATCACTATATTATATATCAGTCTATCTTCATCCTCTTCTCCTCACCCCTCTCCGCGTCTCCATTCTCTCTTCCCTCCTCCCATTCTCTCTCCCTCTCCCATTCTCTCTCCATCTCACCATTCTCTCTCACTCTCTCTCTCTTTCTTACTCCTCCTTTCTGCTCTCCCACTCCCTCCCTTCCCCTTCTCAAAAGCCGAAGTAGAATACAAAACCCAGCTGTTGGAGAGATGGTACGTTTCGAAAACCACAGCTGACTCAGACGGTCCAACCAAGAGGAAAATAAGATGCTGAAATGAGACGAGGATTTTTTTTTTTTTTTTTTTTTTTTTTTTTTGTGCGAAATTCAAAAATTTATTGGCTTTTTCAAGAACTCGGATTGGGAGGCAGAGAGGGTGTATTATGGAAGGGCTATGCGGATACAGAACGGTGGCTGGTGATTCGGACAATGCGATGTAAGAAAAAAAAAAAATTTAAGTGAAATGCGTCCCGTGTGCGTAGAGTTTATGGTTATTTATATCGCATTTATTTTCGGGTGCAATAAATTATGTGTGAGTGTGTTAGTGTGTAGTGTGGTTGGTGTGTGTGTGTGTGTGTGCCCTTTCTACCTCCTACTCTCATCCTTCCTCCATTTTCTTCCTCCCCTGTGCTCCTCCTTTTTTCTCTTCCTCCTCTTCTTTCCC